TTGTTATTTTTTTCATTTTCTTATTTTGATATACAATTTTCGTTTCTCTAATCTTGCGATTTAAAAATCGAATTCTAAAGAATGTTGTTCTTCCCAAATAAAATCTTTTTATAATATTTTGGTCCAAATTTACTTTTAAATTTCTCATCAGATTTTGCAAAAATTTTGGCTTTGTGGTTAGCGAATCACCATTAATTTCAACAAATTTTGAATTCAAAATTTCCAATGTATGCAAAAAACTTGATTAGGCTTGTACAGACCGCCCTCCGATAAACAGTTAACATACGTATAATTTTGATCACTTTCTACATGCGTCCTGAAGCCTAGTTTTGTCAACCCCATTTTCGAAATTATGTAGCCGGCAAAATTTTCAAGTCCATCATATTCCACATCTTTGAGTGGACTGATGAAATCTTCTGCTTCATGCTCTTCTGCGAGCTACTTAAAAAAATTAGAAATCAAATAAAAACGAAAGGGTAAGGAGTTTACCTCGAGTTCTTCTTCTGCGGATATTTCAACATCGTTAAGTGGTTTGAAAACATTTTCACTGAGCAACTCCTCTTCAAATTTTAACATTACTTCACTTGAAGACTCAACATTTGTTTCCGTGCTCAAAATAGTTTCGTTTCGCCCTAATAAAGTTCATGCATACATTTTAGAATCTTTATGACAACAACAATAATTTCTTTAAGTGGTTAAAAAATTACCTAGAAGGTATGATCGAAATCTGTACTTGAATTCGAGAGGTGACGGATAGTCATGCAGCCCTCCTTTCATATATGTTCAATAGCTTCACTAAACTTCACTCATTTTCATACATTTTTGTTTACTTTTACAAAAAAAAAAAATATTATCTCTGGTGATCAGGTAGCAAGAATTTTATGAAATGTCATAATTTTATTAAAAGTCAAATGGTTAGCAACAACAACGAATGTCATTAAATGGAACTACCTTCTTTTTTGTATCATGAACAGACCTCAAGCAAATTCAAATTTCAAACTATGTTCAATGTTTAAAAAAATTCAACAAACTTTCGTAAAAATTTTAGGTTAATGGAGCGCTGATTGCCTGAAAAGCTTGGTATCTTCGGATATGTATAGACATATCGAGCCCTAACTGCCAAAATAACATAAGCGACATTTTTTCAAAATTTTCTTTTTGATGCAGAAAGGCATCTAGATGCTCTAGGAATATTTCTGCATCAAAAAGAAGAATTTTAAAAAATGTTGTTACGTTATTTTGGCGGTTAGGGTTCTGCACTTAAAATAAGTTTGGTAATTTTTTGTTGAATTTGGTAAATTTTTCCGGTGATTTTGGTAAAAAATAAAAAAATTTTGTGGCAACACTGATCACAACTCTTCCGGAGTTGCTTCACGGGGCTCTGTATGACTCTCAGCATACAGAGGTGGTACAAGAGCTACCATTGGCCAGAGCGCCTACCCAATTTCCTAAATTAAAATACATAACCGATGCTCAACTTGCTTGACGCATCAACCCACATGCTCAACAATCTCGCTTGATGCATCACCACTCCTCCGGAGTAGTTTTAAACAGCAAAAGCCAATGCGCTTCAAGCTGTTGGGGCTCTGTATGACTTTCAGCATACAGAGGTGGTACAAGAGCTACCATTGGCCACAGCGCCTACCCAATTTTTGAACTTAAATAAATAACCGGTGCTCAACACTCCGCTTGACGCACACCCCCAAAAACTCTTACAGAGTTTAAGCGGCAAAGCCACAGCGCTACAAGCCGTAGGGACTTACAACCATGCAGAGGTGGTAACCAGTGTTGCCGTTTTAGCCCTTCGGTGGCTAAATTTGGCTACCAAATTCTTTTTTTGGCCACAAAAATTTGAAATTGCCCCTAGCCCTTTTTTTAGCCCTTTTCAAAATTTATTCATCATTGACATTAAAATTTTTTTTTATGATTTTCATGAATTTAACTCTTCGCTCATAAAGCGAACGCCTTTCCTTTAAGGCAAGTAAACATATGTCTATGTATGTTCCATACGTTTCTGGGCCGTTATCTTATCCGTTAACGATTTAACTATACATTAACATAGGTAAGTTGGCGGCCCTTAATATGCTTTATGTGTTACACAAAAAGTTTTTTTTTTGAATAAAATATTAATTCTTTTCAGAGTTCATTGTTTTTCTATACCAGTAGTTATAGAAAATGTTTGCGTGTATACTTACATATTTATACTAGCAGTACCCTGGTGTGCTTCTCTACACGAAATATTGAAAAACGAATGAAAAGTCCTGGAATTTTTCTATATGAAAATTTATCATTTGTTTTATTTAAAAATTTTTGGTTCTTTATTTTAAATCTTAATCCAACACATTTGGATATACAACATTTTTTGTTTTTCCATCTTGGGTATGAATAAATAAACAATTTGGAATGCCCGAATTCGGGGAAACTTAACCCAAACCATCTGCATAATAGCCCGACTATGCCGTATAAATTTGGTTGAAATCTTGCACTTATTCTTTATATATAAGATGTGAGGTGCCACGCCCTCTTTTCCAATACCGCCCATTTTTATCCATGAGTATGGAATTATTTGTTATACCTCTATACCAACTTCCAGTACTCTACGACAAATATTTCAAGAGATATACAACAACAAAATTTTAGTTAGTATGGAAGGTGCCACACCCCCTTTTACGAATTCGGGTAAACTTCACATAAACCATATGCATGATAGCCTGAATATGCCGTATAAATTTGGTTGAATTCGGTGAAGCCGTTCTCAAGTTATAAGCTCACACCAAAAACGTGTACTTATTTGTATACATAAGATACATACATATGCCACGCCCCTTTTCCAAATTTGGGCAAACTCCACATAAAATATCTGCATGATGGCCCGAATATGCCGCATAAATTTGGTTGAATTCGGTGAAGCCCTTCTTAAGTTATATTGTCACACCAAAAACGTTCACTTATTTTTATATTTTAGTTAGTATGGGTGGTGCCACGCCCCCTCTTCCGAATTCGGGAAAACTTCGCATAAACCATCTGCATGATAAATCGAATATGCCACATAAATTTGGTTGAATTCGGTGAAGCTGTTCTCAAGTTATGAGGTCACACCAAAAACGTGCACTTATTTCTATATATAAGATGTAGGTAAAAAAATTTAGCTACCATTTTTAGCCACAACAACGATTTTTAGCTCTTTTTTAGCCCTTTTTTAGCTGGAATTTAGCTACCACTAAAAATGTTTCGCGGCAACACTGGTGGTAACTGATGGTTATCATTGGCTCCGACGCCTACCCAAAACATTTTTGCTTTAATAAATTTTTATGCAAATACATTCATCCTGGTCCTGCCCTCACACTGAGTTATTCACTCAGAATTTTCGTTTCCTTTGTTTATGTATGTTACTTTGGACCACGTCAACCGATTTCTATAACTTTTTTTTTTAAGGAAAGGTAATTTGGCTTAGATGCGATCATTAGATCGTGAAGAAATTGTACCGTTAAATTTGTATATGAGAATTGAAGTCGGTTTTAGTTTTGCTTAAAAATTACTTTTTTTATTTCGTATTCTCTTAAATAATTTTTTTTAATGTTTAGATTTTGCTTTAAAAATAAAAATATATATTTTTTAATAACATTTAATTTTTAAGTACTACTTTCTTCTTTTTTGATTACTTTTTTTCTTTGTTTTCTTTTATTTATTAGTTTTTATTGTTTTAAAAAAGAAAAGTGTTTATATTTTTAAATTCAATTAAATTTCATTCAACAATTTTATTGAGCTTGAGGCCGTTTTTAATGAAAATTCAATTAAAAAAAAAACTTATTGCTAAAAAATGTACACTGTACAGCATAACGCTAAGACCTCCCCGTTAGCAGAGCATTTTAGATATTTGTCAGAGTTGACAATTGTCTTTCGAAAGACTGTGTTGAGTTGAAAGACAGTTGCCTGACTTGTCCTGTAAGTTACTGACAGTACCTTATTTTATTGCACCATGATTTTCTTTATTTTAAATCCCGACAAAAATGGCAGCACTTATTTCTAAGCGGATACGCGTTTCTGGCAGAGAACGGTTAGTTAAAGTGCTGCATATGTAAATATATTTTCTCAATTGCATAAACATTTACACCGTACACATTTTCATATTTCTCCTTTTCGCTCTTCGGTGCAGCGAAAACTGGCTATGGTCCTGGTGAAAAATATTGGGGTCATGTCGATCTACGCACTGGTGCACACATGTTCTACTGGCTCTACTATACCACGGCTAATGTCTCCGCCTATACTGAACGCCCACTTGCCATTTGGTTGCAAGGTGGTCCCGGTGCTTCATCTACGGGTTATGGCAACTTCGAAGAATTGGGTCCACTCGATTTATATGGCAATTATCGCAATTTTACTTGGGTGAAGGATATGAATGTACTCTTCATCGATAACCCTGTGGGCAGTGGTTTCAGCTATGCTGACAGCTATCGTTATTTAACTAAAACCAACAATGAGATTGCTTTGGATTTGGTTAGTTTAATGAAAGGCTTCTACAAGCGTCATCCGGAATTCGAAACAGTACCTTTGCATATATTCTGTGAGAGCTATGGCGGTAAGATGGCACCCGAGTTTGCCTTGGAATTGTATTACGCTGTGCAACGTGGTGAGTTGCGCAGCAATTTGACTTCGGTTGTGTTGGGTGATCCATGGACCTCGCCAATTGATTCTGTATTGGCATGGGCGCCATTATTGTTGCAAATGGTAAATGCGAAAGTGCATACACGGATATGTTTTTTGACAAAATTGAATACATATTTTTAAATATTTTTAGGGCATTGTGGACAGAGCTGGGTCGTAATGATTCCTTTAGGAATTAAATTACTCC